AATGAAGGTAGAGGGGGTATTTTTTATGTAAATAGGTAATCATTTTTATATTCCGTATAAAGAGTGGCAAGAGAGTGTCTCTGGGTTAAGACAGTTTGGGGAGCAAAGAGAAACGGGGGAGAAGTTGGTATCTCACCTCCAGAGAAGCTTACTGGAGAAATGGAGGCTTGGGCAGGGGTGGGGGGTGTTATGTTCCTAACCTGAAGTTATTTATTAGCACAGTCTCTGTTCAAGGCCCTGCGGCCTACATTTCCCCTCTCTGGCCCACAGGAAGCCCCTCCCAAGACCTTTGTGTTCTGGTTTGAGATTGTGTAAAGTTCAGGGGAGCCCTTGGAGGAGAAGGGCTTCTTTCTCAGCCTGTTTCGTCTTCAGGGGCGTGGTACTGACTGCATCTCTACTCTTCACCCCAAGCACTATGTGGCTGTTCGTCTTTCCGCCCCTGGGATGAGGCAGAGAAAAGGTAGCTGGAAGGATGCCTTCTGACAAATGTAAAAGTGTGCGCTCAGGACGATCCATGAACAGCCAGGGGTGGGGTTTGGTGTGGGGCAGAGGAATTGCCTCGGTCCTGGCCAGGGTGGGAGCTACCAAGGTGATGCCTGTTACAGGGTGAGCTGGAGATCACTGTGTTAATAACCATTAGTATAGTTTTGTTGTTGTTGCTAATCCTCACCCAAGGATATTTTTTCCATTGATTTTTAGAGAGAGTGGAAGGGAGGGAGGGAAGAAAAGGGAGAAAGGGAGGGAGGGTTGGAACGAGGGAGGGACGAAGGGAGGGGGAGAGAGAGAGAGAGAAAGAAACTATGTAAGAGCAACAGATCTATTGGTTGTGGGGATCAAGCCTGCCACCCAGGCACGTGCCCTTGCTGGTAATCGAACCCGCAACCCTTTGGTGCGAGGGCTGACTCTCTAACCGCTGATCACACTGGCCAGGCACCATTAGTGTAGTTTTAACATTTCTTTCTCCATCTCCTTCCCTTCTGTCTTTGTCCTTTTCTCTGTCTTTTCTGCATTCCTTGTCCTTATCTGTTCCAGGGAAGCTGATTTCACCCAATGCCTTCCATCATCTCACTGGACTCGTCCCTCCCAGACCGGAAAGCCCCGCACACTCTGGTCACAGAGAGTTAGAGGTGGACGAGCTCAGCCGGGCCACTCTCCTGTTTACCCTCGCCACGCAGACACTGCTCCCGTCGCCAGCACTGACTGCGGACACTGCAGCCTTCCACGCCGCGTTCCTCTTCTAAGACTTTTCTGGGCCTATGTGCTTTCCAGCCCAATGATTTCCTTCTTATTCGATCGGTCTCTCTGTTGCACATCAAGCCTAGATTAGGCAACTTCCTGAGGACTGTGAAGTCCTTTGGTGCCCCTCCGTTGACCTCTTCTGACCATGGAACACCATCAACCTGAGCGTCCAGTTTCTGGCAAGGCCCAGACT